ATGCTCGACACACTCGGATCGACATTGCGCGAGTCAACCATTGACAGCTTCTTCCAACGATTCCCCCATAGAGCCCAAGGCGATGACATTTCGGACCTGACATTCGACGAAGCTGTGATATGTTTGGAGGATCAGTTGGAGGCCAAGAGCCGCCCACAACTCAGCGTCGCAGACAGAATGAAGAGCATGCTGCCCGATGCTGACAAGGTCAAGAATCTGCTCTCTACTCAAGGCACCAGCAACGTCCCCAGTGGTCCCCCAGCAGAAGGGTCCAGCTCGTCCGATGGAACTATTGATGTTCCGGAGCTCAGCACCCCTGGCGAGGAAGGTGAACTGCTCGACAGGGACGACTTGGCCGAGGATCGTGCCGGCGAGGAGCATGTGGTCGAAATCAGAGAATGCCCCATCTGCCACCAGCCGCGCTTGAACAAACGCAAGGATACCGACATCATTACTCACATTGCAACATGCGCAAGCCAGGACTGGAGACAAGTCAACAACCTGGTCATGGGTGGCTTCGTCACCGCCAGCCAGGCCCAGCGCAAGTGGTACTCCAAGGTCATTACGAAGATCTCATACGGTGGCTACAAGCTTGGAGCCAACTCCGCAAACATCCTGGTGCAAGATCGAATCACTGGTCAAATCAACGAGGAAAAGATGAGCGTTTACGTCAGACTGGGCATTCGCCTGCTGTACAAGGGATTAAAGTCGAGCAATATGGAGACCAAGCGAAGTAAGTTCCCACTGCAGACGTTTTTATAAGTAGCTTGATTGACAAATGTTCTTTTAGTTCGCAAGATGCTCAAGAGCATGAGTGTCAAGCAGGGCAAAAAGTTTGACGATCCGGCTTCCAAGGCCGAGATCCCCAAGTTCATTGAGTTCCATCGCCTCGACATGTCCGAAGTGCTCCTTGCGACGGAAGAGTTCAAGAACTTCAACGAGTTCTTCTACAGAGCACTGAAGCCCGATGCTCGCCCATGCTCCGCCCCTGACCGTCCTGACGTCGTTGTCTCTCCCGCCGATTGCCGCAGCGTTGTCTTCAACAGTGTGAGCCAGGCGACCCAGGTGTGGATCAAGGGCCGCGAGTTCTCCATCAAGCGCTTGCTTGGTGAGGCTTACCCCGAGGACGTGAAGCGCTTCGAGAATGGTGCCCTTGGTATCTTCCGTTTGGCACCCCAAGACTACCATCGCTTCCATATCCCTGTCGATGGTATTATGGGCAAGCCAAAGACAATCGCCGGAGAATACTACACGGTGAACCCCATGGCCATCCGTTCCGCTCTCGATGTCTACGGCGAGAACGTGCGAGTTCTCTGCCCCATCGACAGCCCAACTCACGGTCGCGTCATGGTCATCTGTGTGGGTGCCATGATGGTTGGAAGTACTGTGATTACTCAGAAAGAGGGTGCACAAGTCAGTCGTGCCGATGAACTCGGCTACTTCAAATTTGGCGGCAGCACGATCGTATTGCTGTTTGAGCCGGGCAAGATGAAGTTCGACGACGATCTGACTGACAACTCCAATGGAGCCCTTGAGACTTTGGTAAGTCACAATTCAAACTTACCGTATTGCGAGTAGCCGCTAACATTCTTTGTAGGTTCGCGTAGGCATGTCTGTCGGACACGCTCCCGACCAGCCTCAGTGGGGTCCCGACATGCGGAAGGACGCAAAGGACGTCACCGATGCCGAAAAGAAGGATGCCAAACGCCGTATTGGAGGCAGCCTCGGAAGTGAGGAGTCATCTAGCGGCGAAGACACCCCGAACGCAAGCGCCGGCATCACCACGCACGCTGCGTCGGCCATGTAGAGTCGCCGTCTTCGCGTTGCGTGTGAGCGCTTCGGGCGCCATGTGCGCCTTGCCAGCGGTACCGAATACGAGTACCTATCAGTGGCTGGAAGATAGAAGAGCAAGAACAGGTGGACAACAAAACGGTGTTGGGGAACTGGGTAATTTTCTCGCTCTTCGCATGAGCCGCGTCGAGCTTGTTTCTTCTTGTTTCGCTTCTACGATGTTGGTGGCTTTCAACAGACACACGACATGGTTGAATGCGACAGCAGTGCAGCGATAACGGCACCGAGCATAAGGGCACGGGATGTGGGAGCACACACATTATTGGATCAGATGCAATACTTCTACGAAATACAGAGTACAGAAAACGGGAGTAGGGGAGAGTCTATGGTGCGGGGAGGGCCTTGCTTGGCGAGGTGGGGGATCAGCAGTGTCGCTCGCTCGCCTTGAATGAATGCAGCAACATGTCAGTTTTCTGTAAAACGGGCCCCCTTGTTCCTGAAGTCCATGTGATGTGGTGACCAATGGTTTGACGCGTCGAGGTCTAAAAGGGAAGTTCCCATCTGCAGTAAGGCACCAGATGAAATGCATGTCTCCACGATGTGGTCCGAATTCTGAGAGGTTGTCACGCCGGAGATGATGGTATTCAGCGAGTCGCGTAGGGAACGATGAAGGATGGACATGATTCCATGATTTTCCTTCTAGAAGAATTCGGAGTATGTAAAGTCTAAATGGGGGGGGGGGGGGAATTGTTCATGGCATTGATGAAGTCAAGATGGAAAGTGTGGAGGTGTCGGTCCTATTATTAGCATTGACGAGGTTAGGTGGTTTGACTAGAGGTTTAATTGATTTTTTTTTTGATTTTTTTTCCCTCTCTTGTCCATCGCCCACCCCATCCATCCCTTTTTCTTCAAAGTTCAGATTTCATCTTTGGTCTGGTGTCCAAGGATGATACTGATACTGGCCAGACTCTTTAGGGGGAAGTTTCATGTGATGTTACCATGTGCCGACATGGGGATGCTGGTTTACCACAGTAGAGAGGTTGGATGGCTGACCCCTTTTTCATGAGAGCATAGTGTGCTAGGTGAAGTGCCCTGGTGGAGGGGGGGGTGGGGTAGAGTGCGTGATGAGACGGTGATGGGTGATGGGTGATGGGTGATGGGTGATGGGTGATGGGTGATGGGTGATGGGTGGACGGTTTACTGGGAGAAAATGAGTCGTAATGGTGGAAGAGGTGAGTGATCTCGAGTGAAGCTGGGAGCGTGACGTGCAGCTGGGTGAGCGGCAGCCAGAGCAGAGAGGGCGGGGCACCACCTGAGTCGGTGAGGAGTGACTGGGGAGTGTGGTGCAGGTGGAGGATGGGGAGCAGCATCGTCGAGCGGTTAACACCATGACTGTTTATACTTGCTAGACGGGGAAAGTCGCTTGCTAATTTCCTGCTAAGGCGACGACGACCTCTACTCACTTGTTAACAGTAAGTCGAGAAGCTGTCGAGGGCTTCATTCCTTTTCTCAGATGATTGAGACTTTTGTGGCGCAACGCGAAAACTGGCCCGTGGAAAATCCACCCTCTTGAGCCGTAAGGACTAAGGAAACGGCACTTTTCATAACTCGTTTCTCATCTCCACCCCGAATCTTTTTTATATGCCATTGGAGGGGAAGAAGTTCGCACATCATCGATATCATCGATGAGCTAGCTGAATTAGAGACATGCGAGAATTTTTTTTAATTTTTTTTTAGATTTAAAAAAAAAAAAAAAAAAGAATGAGGTAGGCATCTCTGGCAGCGTTTTTATGTACGGCAGATGAACAGGTCGAGGAGGGTTCTACATAGCTGCTGCTTTTGAGTGGGTGGACGATGACTGAAGACTTTGTGAGAACAGCCAGCAAGCAGCCTGACCCCCCTTCCCCTCCCCGGCCGTAGAGAGCGACGGGAGGAGGGGGATGTCCACGGATGACCGACTCGGACGTGGACCCCTTTCCAACCCCCCGTCTACGGTGAGCTTTTCCATCGGCGACGGCGACGGCGACAGTAACGAAAGGGGGCACGGAGAGAGTGGGATGCAGGATGAACGTTAAACCCGGGGGGGGGGTAGGAAGTTTCCCCCATCGTGACGACTTTACCTCGGACTGGACCAAGGTGGACGGACGGCTTGACGCGATGCGTACTGTGCATGGTGAAGCAGAGACCGACATCATCATGCTCATCAGTGGAGGCCCCGTGTCTGATGTTCAGTCTCGATTCCAATGCAGGTCCCCCCGCTCATCCCTCCACCAGAGTGGGCTCTTCTCTCTCTTGTCCTCTCGCCCAATGAACATACCCAGTCAGGTGTTGGGGTGATGGAAGTTCCCGTGAGCTCTCTCTCTCTCAGTCGGAGGGGTCGAGAAGAGTCGGTGTCGGAAGTCGGATTGTGGACCTACACGTGTATGGAGAAGGGGGACCGAAGTTGGTTAGGAGGGAAACTTGGCACGTGAAGAGGGTCGGTCATTCGGCTGTAGACGGGGTACGTTATTGACGAATAAACATGCTGTGATGAGATTGAATTGATTGTGTTGATGACTTTGGAGATTATAGTGTTTCAATCATGGTTGCCAAGAATCGCTGCAGAGGAAAAAAGTGTTGATGTGAACAATTTATTTGGGGGTATCTATTCCATACACGGGAGGGAGCCTGTGTTGGAGGCTCTGCTAAAGAACGAGAAAAAGATGCAGAGGCAAGCAGAACCAGGCAGAGGTATGTAGGAGGGGTGGAAAGATGGAGACGAATGTCGTAGCTTTGCATGTCTCTCGAACGATCCTCTTTCCCCTTCACATCCCACCTTCCTCCGCGTGCCCCCGCCGGCGATACAATGTTGGAAGGGCTCCCAACTCCCCCCTGCCTGTTGATGGTACGAGCAGAGGAGAAAAGGGTACAACAAAAGAGAAAAAGTGGACTTGATGTGATGCCCGACCCTGATGGCGTGATGGGGAACCTTTCGGATTGCCGTCCTTCGCCGGATTCTGATGAGAGATGTTTGTATGAGTGTTGTGTGTGTGTGTGTGTGTGTGTGTGTGTGTGTGTGTGTGTGTGTGCGCCGTAAACTCCCCGATGACAATTGACGAGGATAGAAATGAGCGTTGGCTGAAGTCCCCGTTGATAAGGCACCCGAACGCGAAAGCGACCGAGTCAGCCGTGCCGGTTCAAGGTAACGTCGGCGCAGTGGGAAACTTGAGCTCGCGTGCTGCAAGTCTAGCTTCGAAAATCGAAAGATTTGAAAGTTACTGTTTTTAATTCCAATGTCCTTGACGCCTTCCCGGTTTCCGTGAATATCGTGAATGCGTACATGCAGGTAGTCCTGCGGCGCCAAAAAAAATTCCAATGATGTTGCTTGGTCCAACTGGGTAAGAATGGTTGTGGAGAGCTCTATGAGCACCCCAAGCTGAAGCTCAAAGCTTCAGGCTCGGGGTGTTGGAGATGCATAGAGGTGCCGTCTATTTGGGACCACGCCACGACGAGGCCGAGGGCGATCGTGACATGGGCACGGAGGTCTCGCTGCGGTCGCTGTCCATGGAGCGCTTCTCAGGAGAAGGGCTGCGAGGGAAGTAGGAGGTCATGCTGGGGGCCTGGACGCCGGGGGAGGGCAGATCGGAAGGCGAACGGCGGGTTTCGCGCCACGAGGCGTAGATGGACTTGCACAAGTGTGCGGACATGGTGTATGTGGGCGACATTTTGTAGTGTGCGTGTGGTCGTCGTGTGAGAAGACTTGTAGGTTGTAGGTTGCAGGTTGCAGGTTGTGAGAAGACGGAGAAGCTCTCTGGTGTTGTAGAGAGGTGCTCGCGTGCTTTGTATAAGAGGTTGAGTGAGGCCTGAGGTGAAGTTGGTTGTGGAGTTGATGACACGCGGCTCTGGTGGCAGAGAGAGCAGGACTTGTGGTAATAGGCTTGGTCGGTTATTATTAGAATCCTTGAAAAGGAGAATGGGAAACAAGATGATAGAGGACAAGCTATGAGGGGGAGCAGACGGGCTGCATTATATTTGGTCTGGAAGTCGTGTGGTGAAGGGACGAACTGCGCGGTAGGCGTGGCACCAGGCACCAGGGGGGGACCCTTTTTTTCGATTCTCCCCTCCTCCACTTCCTCCTTCTGCCTTGTATCACTGTAGGACGATTTGTACGAATGCCACAGGTACATTTGTGATGTATCCTTACGGCGCGCGCGCGCTCCCACCTGTCAACTTGGACCCAAATCGGCGGACGGGGGGGCACGAAACATGCGATTTGGCGTCAAAAGAGGCAGAAAACGGACGAGGGCGGGCATGGGGAGATTGAGTGTGACTCGCTGCGCAGAGGGGACTGTCCACTAACAAGGCCCGGCGAGTTCCTCTCTCGCACCCCCGGGGCCCTTTGTGGGATGAGCAGGCTGGCAGCAACCTTCAACCCCCCACTGCCCAGGAGGATAGCCGCCACAGTCGAGATTCACCAATGAAGAGCTTAGAAGAGTGAGATTGATGGCTTCTGGCCAATGGACGCGAAGACAAAGTAAGCAGACGGGTGAATCTGGTGCAATCTGACGGGAGGAAGGTGGGAGTGAAAACGTGCGATTCGAGGCCTGTGGCTGTGCTGAATGGCACCACGGACGGGTGGGCGTTGGTGGTCCGGAACTTGAAAGGGCGGACGGGTCCTTGTGGATGTACACTTCGTACGCATGTATCCCGTAAGGTAGGCTGGACTGACCATTTTTAGCCACGGCGCATCATCTGGTTCGTCAGCGTGGCCCTGGACCCCATCTAGATCCAGAAGAGCTTGCCCACGGCAAGAAAGTGTGACTGATTATGGCTGGTTGCCGTTGCTGATCCTTTTGGCGGGGATTTGGTGCGAAGTAGTCGATATTGGGACGTGTGGGATCATGGACTGTTTGTTAGCTGTTGATGGATATTGCAGAGCATTGGGATCTCACCAGAGTGAGGTTCTGTCCACTGTCAAACTGCTCACTTTGGGGCATTTCGGCCCTCGTAGGACATGACAACGTCACCACGGAGAGAGGGGCAGATTCGTTTGACTCTTAGCAAGATACGTCACTGCTTGCGTGCTAGAGATGGGGAATGAGCAAGCAAGACTGACAACCAGCCACAACTTGGACGGGTAGGCCAGGATCTCTTGATTGGCCGGTGTTCACGACCAAGGCAGCCCAGCTGCATCACGGTCCACCGAACCGACCCTCGCAAGGCAGAGGCAAGAGATCCCGAGCTGGTAGCCGGGACTTGGTCAGGTATCCGTTTCCCGTACGGTACTACAGGCAGTACTTCATAGGCCCCCAATTGCTGCCATGCCTTGCCTACCTATTGTGTACCTGCCCAGGCCCCAGAGAGGCAAGCACTGGCACAGTGGATCGGCCGCTTCGGGTCGGAGCTCCTCCCGAGTTCTGCTCCGACTTCCTTTCCCGACGGGATGCCCAAGGAAGCGACGATCTGCCAAGTTGAGGACTCATGATTGCTCTTTCCTAGCCTAACGCCGCGCGAGAAGCTAGGTGAGGGTTGCAGCAAGTGAGCTCCGAGGCACAGACTGATCGTAGACGGCATGCCTACCTTGGTATCCGACGTAGGCATCCAACAGCAGGCTTCGCGAAGGGCAAAGGAACCCGGCCTTGGAGCTCCACGTTCCGAACCGTGAGGGTCCGAAGCTTCTGGTGCCCCGCGACAGCGAGATCGACCAGCAGGCCTTCTCCAAAACCTTAACGTTCCAGCGGTGCGGTGCTCACACGACCAGCTGAGCCAGCTCCAACTAGCAAGCTGCCACTCCTGGCGTGCCGATTGGAGCTGCCGGAACCATCTGCTTCTGTCCTGTGGCTCGGCGCGCGGGACCTCGAAACTGCCAGACGTACCGGCAACCATTTCCCGCGGGATAGCCAGCTATGGATGGGACGAGTTCGTGCCAGTCTGGGGACGTGAGATGCGACATGGGTGAGGTAGTTGAGGTGTGGGTTTTCCGATCGTTCCAGATGCACACTCTCTTCCTCGGGCGGCTGAGAAATGCTGACCAGCTTTGCGTTGGCCAAGATGTTGATTGTAAATCACAAAGGAGCAAAATGCGGCACGCCATTCTGTGTGAAATCGCAGAATGGTCAGCATTTGACATTTGTAATGTGCCAGACAGGCTGACTGTGGCAGTTGTAAGGCGAGCTGCATGATTGGTCGAGAGGAAAACGTCAAGTCCACTCGCTGGCTCACAAAATGGTTGTTCGATGCAGAAACTTCAAGTTGGGCGAGGATTCAGCAATTGTCGTTTATTAACGTTGACAAAAAAAAACTAAATGACCAGTGTCCGGAAGGAACGTGGTCTGCCAGCTCCGTGATGAACAATTTTTTTTGGCTCGATGGTGTGAGGCCGGCCCTACTTATTTTAACTTTTGCGGAGAAAAGACATGAACATCCGATATGGTGTAGTGGCCAACATGATGCCCTCTCATCTCTATGAGAGGTTAGGCATAGCCCCGAGTTCGATTCTCGGTTTCGGAATCTTTTTGCCCAAATCACGGGTTTCTTTCTTTCTTGATAAACGGGGGGGCGGGCTTTGACTGTTTTTTCATTTATCTTCAAGTTATTGATTCTACACTTTTGAGCCCTAACTTACCTTGGTCGTCGCTTCTGTCTCGGCTGGACTGGCATTGTGCGATGCTCTCACACTGACCAACAACGTACGGTGCGCTCTTGACAGGCAGCTCTCACGGCATCAAACACCAAGATGCAATCTACGCACAGCTATCCGCTAGCACCAAGATGCCAAGGTGAGCAGCCGCCCGTCACCGACCTAGCAGATCCGTCACAGAGTTAGCCTCACATTGTCACCGCAATTCTCAGGCCTGCCGAGGCGATCAGCAGGCTTGCAGCTGACGGGTTGGCAGATATTTATATGAGGTGTCATAGCTTAACAGATCCCGCGGGGCGCAACGAGGCGCACTTCCGTCGTTTCAAAGATGATGGCTGGCCGCTATCTCACCCTCATTCGACGAAACTGGCTTGGGTATTCTTACTTTGGCAGTGGTGGTTGTATACTCGCCCATCTTATTGCGAGATTGCGTCGGTGAGTCGTCAGCGGAGGGAAGGATTGCTTACGACTCTCACCGTCCGTCCACAACCGACCTTGACATCGTCTAGTCTGTGGGCGAGGTGGTGTTAGCTTCGGTCAAATCTCGCAAGCAATGGCCCAAACATCCGCAAGCATTGCGAATGCCAACGTTGCATTCATATCGATTCCCAACGATTAGAGACGTTTCGTTCTGTTCCCACTGATTCGCCCACTGGGGTTGCTTTGAGGAAAGAGGAGCCAACGTTCGGGGCAGTGATGGTGACGGCTGCGGTGGGCGGAGACAGGAGGAGATTTGAGGGTTGAGAGGGAAGCCGGCCGACTCTGTGCCATTACGACATTGGCGTCGCGCAAAGTCGGGCGCGCTCTTTTCTCATTGGGCCCATGTCCGCGCGCAACTTGGCGTGTAATTGAATCTGGGGCCCAGTTGAAGAAAGCCCGAACGGGTGTCTCCCAGTCCCAGCATCGAACCTTTCCGACTGAAGTGAACGGGAAGGGTTCATCTTTAATCGGCTTTAATGACCTCTGCTCGTGGACTTAATGCGCAGAGTGAGGCTGTGAGGGAAGCATGAGGGGAGGGTGGGGAGGATGAGGCCAGGATGAGGCAACTTGAGTTCACAGGAAAAGCTGTTGGCTGTAACTTATAGGTGCCTGACATATGGTTCGACGGGCATTTTCGCCAGACTTTTCTAGCGCAGTAGACTTGGTGCTTCTCGAGGTTCTAAACCCCCCCCCCCCGGTATCCACCTGGAGAGACGTTGTTGAAACAGGCAGACCCCAGATGCGGTGGTGGTATGGGGCTACGTCGGACGCATGAAAGTGTGAGTGGTGCCTGGCTCGCTCGCCTTCACATTCGCGGTCTTGATGGGTCTTTTGGGACTTTGGGTCGAACAGAGGTCAGGTGGGATGGGGGCGAGGGGGATATGCAGTAGGGATGATTGGATCTTGGGTGGATGAGAAACCCGAGTTGACCGTTCCAGGCCTTGATGGCTCTTTTCCTGTGGGTTGAGTTGAGGGTTCTTCTGCATGAAGGGTCGAGACATCCGTAGCTGGGTGATGCCGTGGTCGACTGGAGGATGCTTCATGAAGGGATGTCAACTACAGGTCGATCGGTCAGTCCCTTTTTGGAAATGTTTTGACCCAAGAGCAATGATCCGTAAGAGGCATCTAGATAGCAGAGTTCCAGCCACGCGTGCCATAGTCGCAAGCCCATCGGAAATGTGTCTTTGCAGGTGTCCAGAAGAGAACAAGCCGATGTCTAAAGATGGAAAATGCAGAGTGCCATGGCGGCCTCTGATTGGTCTCATCTGTAACAAGACCAGCCGTCCCACCGGCAATGCTTCCCCCTTCCTTGTTCCTTTTTATTGTGGATTTTGAGGTGCTTCAAACTCTCCTTCTCCCTGCACTTTTTAGTGTTGACTGCTAAGGTATGCAGCCCTGGCGAACATGCGCAGAAACCGTCCACCCCTTGTCTGGCAACTTCTCGGCCGCCGTTTCCTCCAAGAGACATGCCGGTAGTTGAGCTTGCTTCTATTCCCTTCACGACAGTAGTAGCGAGGGCTCTACGTCTGAAACGGGAACTGTCGGCGTCCAATCGTGTCCGTCCCAACACGGCCTGAACTAATTCCACCTACTTACATCTTGCGGATACTCTCACCAACGCCGCCGCCGCCGCCGTAGCTCCCGGATCGACGTACATCGTCCCTCTCTTCCATGGCTGCTGCAAGTGTTAGTCCGCCGCCGCCTCTTGATTTCCCTTTCCGAGGGAAGAACCACACTCAGGCGTATTCGTCAAAGTCCCGTCGGTGAGTTACAATGTTGGCCAAGCCAAGCCAGCATTGACCGATATTCGGATTTTCCTCATCCCTCAAACGTCGAGAAACAAAGACATTGACATCAGACACGGCCGGGACTAGGCAAGACACGTCAAAGATATCAATGCTTTCTTCTCCGTCTCCTCTTCGTCTGTTCTATCCATTCTCCTCTGATTCCAGATTATCGGATCCTCTAGCTTTGCCCTCGACTCACACTAGGACCCGTGAGCTTGTCAAAGCTCAGCCACCCCTATTGGCAATTAGCCAGCACGGTCAACGATATGGCTCTGCGGGCTTGTTTTCTCTACTTTTTCCTCTTGTCATCCAATCCACGAACTGACCGGAGAAGGGGGATATGGCTGAGTCGCTCACCACGCGCGAGGGCTGCCATCTCATCTTGCATCTCAAAGCACCTGCATCCAACATCCCTGGTTGCTCTCGTCATGCTCCGACGTCGTCACCCCTCCATTCTCGGGCATTATACAGCCCCATGTCACATCTCCCTCGAGTCTCCCCCCCCCCTCCTCCATCCACCCACGGTGACCCATCCCACTAGTCGTCCTCGATTTGCGCTGCGGCTCATCCTTCCGCATCAGAAAAGAGGCCTGAGAAGTCTCAAATCCCTTCCTACGCCGGAGGGAAACAGGGTCCCTCCCCTGCTCATGATCTGCCCGTGCCCTTAGTCCAATAATCGGTCACCACCCTTCCTCCACCTACGCTTCTGTGCCCTTCCTTGTCAGGGCCGCCTCTCCCGCACCAGGCCCGCCGTCCGAGTCTGAGAGGTCGGACGGACAAGAGAAGGAGAGAGTAAGAGGTTAAGAGAGAGTCCTCTGACATATACAAGACGATCGCAAACCCTGGCGCTCGGCCATGGATGCCTTTTTCCCTTCCTCCTTCCGCCCCCTTCACCAAACGTGTCAGTTGCACGTCACTCTAAAACTCTATTCTGTTTTGTCTTTACTGTTCTAGACGAGACGAAAAAGAAGCTGCTGCAAGAAGATCCAGACCTACACTCCTTCGGTCTTCCTTCTGCTGCTGCTGACGCCTCCGCCTCGTCCCGCACTGACCGGCTTCTACCTTACTATACCATACCACACCTTATCCATATTGACAATACCTTCAATCATCCTTCTTCTTCATTCTTCTTTTTTAATCTCTTCATGTCCATGTGCCGCGCGAACGACTCTGCGCTGCTGTCCTCCGCGAGGTCATGGAGGTTGTAATTCCACCCAGAGATCATGGGCCGTCCTACAGATATGTATGGGACGATGATGGACAGGTCGAGAGGATAGAAAGGTTCATCCATTCCAGCCGACCCTCTTTACAGAATCTTTAGAATTAAGTTTATACGGTTAACTAACACAACTCTCTCATCTCAGAGTTCGCTTTCAAGAAAACAATGAACAGAGAGATAGTACAGTGAGCAGGCAAACGGTGCAATGGCCTTTTCTCCGTCACCAGAGCTCCGCTTCCGATGTCGCCTCGTCGAGGCCTTTTACTGGCTTCACGGGGAGCTTCCCGGACCCGCAGAGTTTTCCCCCAAAAGAAGCGAAAGAACCGACACGAAGAGCGACGTGGGCGCCGGGGAAGCGAAATTCGACGGCCACGATTCTGGAAAATATCGTACCGGACTACATCATCAACTACATCCGAGGAGAGACGCCCGAGACCATGGCACAGCGGAGAGAGGAACGCAAGAGGCAGACGGAGAGCCCAGACACGTTGGAGGCACAGGCCGCCGCGGCGAATCACGCGGCGGCGCAAGGATTTTACGACGAGGCGACCACGGATCGACCGTCGACGGGCGAGAATGAGATTGGGGACCTCGAACGGATGCTGCCGCCGCCAGATGAGAAGCGCGGAGGCGGAGGAACCTTTAGTAGGATGAAGTCGGGTTGGAGGGCCGGCATCGCGTTGAACATCATCATCGGCTTCGCCATTCTCATCGTCGCCATCGTGTGCCTCGTACTCGCGCTCGTCGTCGTCGGCATGATCAGGGGCGAGAGCCTAATCTTCAAGGGCTCCTGCGCGACGGCCGAACAGCTCAAGGTCGGGCTTTTTGTCGCCATCAACGTCATCACCATTGTGCTGCTATCGGCGGCCAACTACGTCTTCCAGGTCCTGAGCAGTCCCACGCGCATCGAGATTGAGATGGCGCACGACGGGAGGCGGTGGCTCGACCTCGGGATCCCTTCTTTTAGAAACCTGCGTTTCGTCTCGAAACCGCGGGTTGTCATGACGGCCATCATTATGCTGGCGGCCGTCAGTACTCAAGTAATGTATGCGCGCTGCTGCTTCCGAGAACAAGATCCCCCTTCCCCTTGTCTTGACAGACGTTGACTTTTGGACTAGTTATAATGCCGTAATATTCTCGACACAACCTGGCTACGCCCACCAGGTCGTCTTCGTCACACAAGAGTTCCTCGCCTCGGGCCAGTTCAGCAACGCCTCAGAAACCAACGCCGGCGGTCTCTCGAGGGGCGACATCCTCGACCTCCAAGACCTGGCGTCCCGGAGCCAGCTCACCAACTTCACAAACGCCGAGTGCGCAGGGGAATTCGGCGGCGTCTATCAAAGCGACTTCACCGCCGTGGTCCTCGTAACGGACGTCATCGCCCCGAGCAACGCCCTCGTCCAGACCCAAAAATCCGGATCCTCCCTCGCACCCTTCATCGTCAACCGCTCCGACCCTGCGCAGATCAAGATCAACAGCTCCTCGGTCGACTACTGCCTCGCCCGCCCCGAGGACCGCAACCCCTGCACCGTCGTCCTCAACGGCTCCCTCCTCGGCGTCATCGCCATCCTCAACCTCGTCTCCGTCTCCGCCATCGGCGCCGTCTACTTCTTCACCGGCTTCGAGCCCCTCGTCACCCTCGGCGACGCCCTCGCCTCCTTCATCTCCCAGCCCGACCGCACCACCCGCGGCATCTGCCTCCTCGACAAGACGGACGTCAAGCAAGGCCGCTGGGGCTACCCCGAGGCCAAATACTGGACCTCCCGAGACCACTTCTGGTTCCAGACTCCCGGCCTGACCCTCTGGACCTTATGGCTCCTCACCTGGGCCACGCCAGCAGGTCTCGCCGCCGCCGCCCTCGGCGTCTCCCTCGGCAAAGGCCCGTCCTCCTCCCTCGGCGCCTTCGGCAGCGCCCTCCCCCACGAGCTCTACCCCCTCCCCAACGGCGGCGCCCGCGCCGGCGTAGCCATCGTCGCCGCCCTCCCCCACCTCCTCCTCGCAGCCCTCTACCTCTCCACAAACGCCCTCCTCTCCTCCTACTACCTCTCCCACGAACTAAGCCAGTACGCCCTGCCCGGCATCTCCCTCCCCCTCCGCGTCAGCTCCGGCCGGCCCCGCGGCACCCAAACAACAAGCCTCTACCTCACCCTCCCCCGCCCGCTATCCTGGCTCCTCCTCGCCCTCTTCGCGGCCCTAGGCCTCGTCCTCAGCAACGCCGTGCCCATGGTCTCGGTCGACATGCGGCCCGCCACCCGCGACGAAAAGTTCCCCATGCCTATTAATGGCATCGGCTTCAGCGGCGTCGGCCTGCTCGCGTTCCTGGCGCTCATGGTCGTCGTCGCGGCGCTGGTGCTGGGCCTGGGTCTCCGGCGCGCGGACCCGTCGCCCACGAGCGTCGACGGGGAGAAGGCGGGGAACCCGCTCGTGCTGCAGGGCGGGGGCTGCTCTGCTGTGATTACCTCGCGGTGTCACCGCCCGCCGAGCGACGTGAGCGCCGCGTATAAGAATGTTGCGTGGGGTGTCGTTGACCAGGATTTCGAGACGACGTTTGGGCATGCTACGTTTTCGAGTCAGGCTGTGAGCGTCTTGGATCCTGCCAAGGGGTATGCTTGATTTTTGGTTTGCCAATGTATGCATCTTGTTTTTTCTCTCTTTCATTCCCCGTTCAGTTGTACATGTTTCTTGTTTTGGGCATCTACAGTACCCCCTCATTGCTTCGTGTAAATTGGGGGGTTACGTTGTGTGCTCTTTGGTCACGCCGGTTTCTTGTTTTCGAAAAGTTCTGCATCTGGGAAAGGCATTTTGATGGTGTTAATTGGGGAAGTGTGTACTATTGTTTTTATGGAGAAAATGAGGGAATGTATAGAGATGGGAAAACGAAATCGGTGATGATGGTGGCATCATCTTCGGCCAAATGGACGGCACGGGACGGAACGGGACGGAACGGGACGGACGTAGGGGAACGGTTATTGTAGTACGTTTATACCCTAGTGTTTTGCTTTAGCTGGTCAGGGACAATTAGGGACGAGAAATACAGCAGATTATGAAGCCTCTGGATGAGGCTTGAATTGAAAGCATTGATTGGAACACAATTTGATCGTGTTGTTGCATTGATGTGTGGAGATATCCCCCCCCCCCCCCCCCCTCCCCCCTCTGTGTGTGAGAAGTCGTTCCTCGATGTTGTTTCTGACATGAATTTGCTCTCATGACCTCCGATCCAATCCTTCACGGCGCTTCATTTACTTGGGCAACTAATCGAGTCCTTCGACTGGGAGTCAGAGACTTTCGGTATATATCATCAGCATTAAATATCGCAGTACTCAGTCATAACGGGGGCTTGGACGGTTTGAAATGGCAAAACATTTTATCCTTAGTCTGTATATGTATCTATATCTAACGATGTTAAAAATAGATTGATCAACTTCACTTTACACCAACGGATCTCTAATCCAAACCGAACCCTGTATCCGAATCCAACGTCATAAGAACCAACCATTATCTTTCGAAAGCAAATTCGCACGCTATGCACCATCATCCCAAACAGGGAGCGACTTTAACAAAACCAACAGGTAGAAGAAAACCACCTAAGCAAAGACGGGAGCAATGTTGGCCTTCTCAATACCAGGCGTAGCAACGCTAAAGACCTCGGGCCACAGGAACATCTTCTCCTCGGCAGGCGTAATCGCGACAAGCTTGGGGATCGCAGTCTTGCTCGACATGCGTCTCCACATGTTGGCGCGCGGGTTAAAGGCGGCAGGCATACCCTTTCCGCCCGTCTTCTTGTCGTCCTCGTCGCGGATGCGCTGGATCTCGGTCTGGATGTCGGCAAAGGTGTCAAAGGGGATGTAGCCGATGGAGTTCTCGACGCAGTACTCCTCCAGGCGCAGACCGCGGCGCGCAAAGAGCACGTCGGCCTGGCGGGCGGCGGGGAGATCGGACACGCCGTCGCCGATGAAGACGATGAGGGGGATCGTGCCGTCCTCGCACGCCATCTCAGCCTGCTCGCGGGCCTCGCCCATGGAGAGCGCCTTGTCGTGGCCGAGCTCGTTGTCGTGGCGCCAGATGGGCTTCCAGGCGGACCCGTCGTCTGTGATCTCGGCCTCGTTGGCGACGATGTCGATGTGGCGCGAGGCGTCCTCGCCCAGGAAGGTGTCGAGAACGCGGCGGAGGATGGGCTTGAGGCCGGCGGAGATGACGTTGAAGGGGATCTCGTTGGCGATGCAGTACTTGTGGAACTCCTGGAAGGCCGGGTCGATCTCGAGCTTCTTCTCCATCACCTCGAAGCCGTCGTCAAAGGGGACGTTGAGGGAGCCCCACATCTCTTCGGATACGTCGCGGAAGGAGCGCTCGCCAGACTTGATTTGCTCGTCGAGGATCTCGCGCTGCTGGGAGCCGCAGCCGTGGGCGTCGAAGAGGATGTGGCCGGTGTCCTGCATGAAGATTGTTCCGTCAAAGTCTGGAGAGGATCGTTGTTAGTAAGTAGAGATTCAAGGGTGAAAGGGGAGTGGTCTTACCTGAGAAGCAGATGATCTTGCGCTTCTTGTTCTCGGAAGCAGGCAGGCCAGACTCGGCGGCGGCCTTGACTGTTGAGGGGGAGATGGCGATGGGCATTGTGACGGGTGGTTATGGTGTGTTGTTGATTGTATCACGGTATAGGAATACACTGGCTGTGACAGATGTACTTATAATCTTAAATAGATACACAAAAAGGATGGGTAACTGGGAATTAAAGTTGTCACGTAGAAGTTTCAACGGGAGGTGTCCAGCTTTAATAGAAGTCAATGCTCACACGCGATACTGCCGAACTCTCGACCGAACCGCGAGCGGTAGCGGCAAGGGAAAACAAAAAAGGCGCAATGCCAGCCATACCATCCTCTTCACGATGACGGCCTGAATTCCGAAAGGTAGTTAGCTTTTTCTTTACACCCCTCCCCGCCACCCCCGTCCCTCCCCCGAGTCCTCCGCCAAATACGGGGCGTCAGGGCGCGCCAACCTGCATGAGCAAAGGGCTTACACCGAAGGGAAACCAAACCAAAACGGGGGGGGGGAGTCATGGATCATGGACGAACAAAAAGTAACCGGGCCAAGGCCAGCCAGCCCTCGAGCGAGCGAGAAGGAGAGCACTCCGCTATCGTTGGGATTATAGAAGCCGCTTCCGGGATGCTACTGCACAATGGCAAGCGGCCGAGACGCCGACTCGGACGGCGTCAACGGGCGCACCGCAGACTGCCAGTCGCCAATGGACACCACATACGATGACGGCGTCTCACAGGCTCCAAAGGGCAAAGGCATTTGGCTTTTCCGAGCCATGCCCACTTGGGACGTTCTAGCGCGAACGAGGGGGCAGGGCCAGATTCAACCAGTGTATGACTGGCTGTTTCTTTTACCCCCCCTTCCTCTCTGACTCTTGAGCTTTTTTCAGAGTTGCGGGATGGGCTGGCTGGATTGCCACGCCCTCACACCCTCCCACGGGAAGACGGAAGACGGCCGGCTGTGCAATCTGACAAATGGCCGTGGGCGATGTGGCAGACAGCCACTTGGAGGCTCCGGACAAAGTCTCAGAGTCTAGCAGAGCCTCTGATGATCGCCAGGAGAAAGACTTCTCCAACGAACCGAACCCGGAACGAGCTCAGTGGAATGGCAGTCCTTGATTCGTAACTTGTTGGCATTCAGCCCTCCCAAAGCCGGCATTCAAAAAAGCTTAGAACAAAAGTGGACAGATAAAACCGTTTCCGACTGTTCGAGACAGCCACCACAATGGCCGATAATGGCTGCAGAATCCGATGCTTGGGTCAGCGTGCCCCATCGGTTCACTTGAACAGGGGGAAGGGTCGGGAGGCGACATGATACATCCGTCCGAAGAGAGGGAAAGCGAGAAAAAATAAATTCAAACAGAGAAAAGTGCCACCTAACAGAACATTCCAGCCTCCAAGGACCACGGTCCAAAGCCTGGCCGCATCGGTAAGTAGACATGGGGGAAATAGGAAATATGCCACCGAGAGCGGAGTCTCAAGCCCGTCGTCCCCACATTCACTGCGTCGAGCTGATCCAAGCAATGGAAAGCAGAAAGCGCAAGGAAAGTTGGGACTGAGGGATGCCAGAGAGAATGAACCGTGAACGTGCTGCATTGGGGGTACAGTAGGCGACCTTGCGTCGTTCCATGATGCGTGCAAGGATAAAGTAAAAGGGTGAAATGCCCCGGTCCCGAAGTCGTTCCTTTGCCAACAGCGGAAGCATGTGAGGTGGCATGGTTGGCGGATGGGGAAAAACATGGAGGAATTGATGGGAAAATGGCCAAATTCGAGCTACCTGCGCGGTGATGTCATTCCGTCCCCCAGTGGGGCTCTTTATCGTGTTGCTTGAGGCGTAAATGAATACTTGCTGTGAAGAGCACCAAAATGCCCCCAATATGCCCTGGTCCGCGTCCGACATGCAGTTCAATTGCGCTTAACCTTCAACAAGATGCGCTAGCCCAGTGACTTTTTTCGTAACGCGATGCAACGCGATGCGGGCAGGCTTGGCCGTGGTGTACCGTGTACGTGCCTTGGTCGTCTGGCCCCGAGTCGTTGCTGGCTTGCTACTGCACTCCAGTCTCCAGCTCGTCTAGCCCAAGGCCCGTGGAGACGTGCATATGCATTGTGAAAGGGGCTTGAGGACGAGATCGAAACAATCGAGGTCGGGGATGCTGGGGCAAATGAGCGGAGCCTCCATCCCTCTCCAGTCTCCATGCTTGAGCCTAGACGTGCCCTCGATGTTCACTGCCCTCCAATGAATCCATCCCATCTGCAGCGGCCCGGGCTTCTCATTCGTCTGGTCTCCGGCTGAGTGAGGCCCTCGACGAGTCCTTGCCATGCAATTGCGCGAGGAGCATCGTCTAGCCGATGAACACCCATGTCCGTTTTGGCGGTGAACACAACGAGGCCTGCGCTGTACGTATCAAGGTGAGCCAGACCGGTAGAAAAACTGCAATCCTTCACCAAGAATCGTTATCGTCGAATTTCATGGCGACAAACCCCTTGCAAGCCGTCATAAGGTAGCAGACCTCTATCGGCAGGCCACGCCTGGTATCGTCGACCTACTGCAACCGATGACGTTGAAGGCGCTCTTTGCATGTGTCTGCGGATGGAATGAGACTGTGAGATGCAGTGACTGAGCATCTGTGTCGCGCAATCTGTAATCTCGACTTTTCTTTGAGCCCCGCGCGTCCGTGCAAGACCCCGAGTGCTCACTTTACCCCTCCACGTCCGGGTTAGATCCACAATGCCAGACCGGCGAGACAAGCGAGACAAAATTCGATGCTGTGCGATGCGAAAGACAGTGGCAAATTTTTTTGGTATTTGGGTTGTCCTGTCCATCATTGCCCAAACTCAATCCTTGCCGGAAAGTCTGCTCCGTCAGCCAAAACTGTTCAAAGCGCAAGCTCCATTGGGCCAACCCGGCAGTAAGCCCTAACAAAAATGCTTGCCTGTGATTTCCATACTTCTTTGACTTGAGAAAGTTGAGAGAAAGCCCTGAGTCAGGCGCATGGGATGGGGCCCCGGCCGTCTAGCTGGCGCTTGGTGCTAATCAAGAATAGGAAGCCATGATGTCAATCTGCCGATGTCGAAAGCCACCGATCCGTCACCTCGGGCGGCTTCGGTCAACCGGTCCTCCCAGGTCCGGCTGTCCAGTCCTAAGGACCATGACCCGGGGGTTAAATCATGCATGCCCGAAACGAACAGCTGGCCAGACGGGCTCGGCGAAACCATGGACCCTTCGAGCCCTGCTGATCGCTGGCGGGTCGCGCGCATCTGGCAAAGAAAGAACCGACTTTCGGAACAAGCGAAGGCGAGGGGATGGGTATCTTCAAGCGGAAAGTAGTAATTCGAGTGGTCTCGTTGCGCTTTTCCGAGCCGTTGTATCTCCATTTGAGTTCCTCTAAACCGTACGCCTAACATTATGCCTCATCAGCAGTACACACCGCCCCGCCGTCTATGCAGACACCTTGGGACTGTACTTGGTCGCCGCCTTGTCGAATAGCGCACTCTTCTCCTCCAGGTCCACAAGGAACTGGTGCTGGGGGTCCGCCGCCTTCAATTTCCTGTGTCCACGTGGTTAGCATGTCGTCTCGACGCTTCTATAAGCAAGGCACCGGAACTTACTCCGTAAACTCCTTGGGATCTTGGCCCGAAACCACTGTCAACACCAGCAGGTTGGCAATGGCTTCGGCATAGCCTGCGTCCTTGGCCAGAGCCTGGTCCAGCGCTGCCTGCGCCTCCTCTGTACGTCCAAGGTGCAGCTCAGCAACGGCCTGGGAGACGAGGGTTGCGATGGACGACGTTGCTGGCGCCTGCGCGAGCTCCTCGAAAACGTAGAAAGCCTGTTGATACTTGTCTCCGCCCTATTCTTTCTTAGTCTCGTTCTTTCATTGGTGGTGTAGTCATCGTACCTGTCTCAGACCAACCCATGACTCAGCCAAGTTGACCAGCAAGCTATCCTGTGCCCATCGTCTCGCGGCGGTGACCTCCTTGAGGGCGAGGTCGTTGCGGTTCTGCTGGAGGTGGATCTGAACAATCAGGGCAACAGCGTCCACTACAAGTCCCGAGTCAGCGCAATTCCGTCAGCAACTAATGGCGTCAAACATACAGCTTCCCTGGTGCTGTGAAAGCAAGGCAAGAGCCTCCTCTGACTTGCCCGCAGCCTGCAGGACTGTGCCTCCAGCAATCTGGACTGTAGCGTTTTCCCCCTCGGATGCGGCGAGCTTCTCAATCGTCTTCACGGCAGAATCCGTCTTTCCAAGCGCGCTCTCGGCAAGTGCTCCAAGAGCTACCAGTTCAGGCTCCTTCTCTCCCTGCACGTCGGCGATGACATCTTCGGCTTGGCCAAGGGCGATGCGGGCTCGCAGAACTAGGACGCGAGCGGGAAGCTCATTCTCGGAGGAGAGGGCAGAGGTATCGTAATCAATAACCTCCTGGTACTGGCCCTGGTGGAAGTAGTTGTGGATGTTGATCAATTCGCCTTCGGCAGAGTAGGGGTCCATTTTGGCGGTTTCGTTCGTTCGGAGGGAGGTTGTCGTTGATGGTTGATGCCAAATGACAAGCAGCTGCGATGTGTTCCCCTTGACCACTTAACTGATGTGGGGGGGGGCTTTTCAAGCAACGTGGAACCCTGAGAAGACACGGAGGAAGCCGTGGCCGGGAAGGTGGATCTACCGAGTGGTCTGTGCGCCATCGGCGTCCAGGAACCAACAACACCACCTAGACTCGATTATCACCAACTACCTACCTTGCCGACACAAAACTTATCAGCGTCTAGATATCGGACGAACTACACTTGAAGTATAAAGGGATACAATGGGCTCTCATATCTCGCACCATCTGCAATACGTTGTCCCTGGGATTATCTCAAGTTGGACATATATCTCTCTCACCTTCACATTGTCTGTCTGACAACGTTAGGCAGTGCTCAAAATACAATATCTTCAGCCAAGTGGCCATAACTCTTGAAATCAAGGCATGTTCATCATTCTATTATGGTGCCATCTCCGTATCATAATTGGCAAGTTCTACGATGCTCGTAGTAGTGTGTACCTACAGATCATACTTTGCCTGGAGCAGGCAACTTCGAGAATGTAAAAAGGGGAGTAGAATACCAAGCTTCGAGTGAAGGCTGTGGAGGAAAATATAAGAAGAAATACCCCATTGAGACAAGTGTCAATATTGGTGATCATCACCTCTCCATTCTATGAGTATAGAGCATATTATACGTCATTGAAATGTCCCTTGAGCGACTCTGGGCGTACTCTACTCACATAACATATCTCCCAATGCTTTCGGACCACTCTCTATGCATTAAGAGTGCTCACTAAATCTATAAAGGAGGTCTAGTTACCAAATCAGGTGTCCAGTCTGAAAGACAGGGCAAAGTTCATCTGTGATACGACCTGGAATGTGATGATGAATATACCAAGGACAACAATGGCAGTGTGGCATTCAATCTGTTGTCTCCTTCCAGCCAAGGGCAGGTGCTCCTTCCCTCGATATTTGGAAAAATACTATGCGCTCAAATTCACACATCTCCCCTCATCACAATCCAATACTCTCAGCAATCACACAAGTATCACACATCTCGAATCCCCAAGACTCACCAACTTCTCTTTCATGGAAGTAATCTTCACTCCGCCCCTGATTTTTCATATTGTGGGCTTGGTATACAGCTTGATTCCCATGTCCTTCCTTTACCTCGTACTACTCCCTTTTGTCGACCACGATTTCCTCCTTGTTCTGCTTAACGGCTTGTTCTTCCGGACCGCTCACGTCAAATTTCGCTTCCATCTCGCCTTTCGCCTCTCCTTCGACTGAAGTTTTGAAGCACATCACTCCGTCCGGCCTCGGATCACCTGGCCTTCCCGTCTGGTCTTCCCGCTCATCTCACGATGGACCCTTTTGACCCGCTTGAATTAAGAGAGGCAGGTCCTCAGAAGCCTAGAGGTCCCCTAGAGCCCAGCGTCCTCGACCGGAAAAGACCAGTGGCTCGATTCCCAGATAGCTTTTCTGCCAATCTCGGTCGCAAGGCTTCCTCCTTCTTTCGTCAAGACGATTTTGCTACTGGATTCGACCAAAAAAACTCATCATCCCCTCCTCCTCTCCCCGAAAGCAAGAGCATCATTCATCGAAAACGAGACGTTTTACCTGGCTTACCTTCTCCATCGATTACTCGCGATCGTCAAACATCCGCCGCGTCTTCAGTCAAGGCAATGGTCGCGAAATTCGAAGGAGCCACTGGTACACCTGAGAAATCCGACAAGATGTCTGATCACGGAGATTACGATCTCATTCCCTCCTCGCCCGTCGCTGACAAGGGCAGGGGTAAGGCTTCATTCGATGAGTCTACTGACACCACCGCCGCTTCGATTGCGACCGGCGTTGCTTCACAGCCCGAGAAGAAATTGTCCGCTCGAGAGATTGCCGACCTGGAGCTTCTCAAGATGGAGGATTACTTCCAGGACCAGTCCCTCGCACGCTCCCTCGACAACTATGTCGCCCCGAAGCATATTCATACCAAGGTCAAGGTCCTTCCTCTTGAGGAGGACGAGGGCGTATCCATGGTGAAGGCTGCCAAAATCGAGCTTTGGAACAAGTTGGCTTCGCTCAACGAGGCCTTCGAGGAGCGCCATCCATCCGCCAAGGAAGAGCGTCTCGCCCAGGAAGCTGCTTTCGCTGCCACCAACGCCCGTCTCGACGAGATCTTCAGAGAGACTTCCAAGCAGGGCGCTCTGAATGAAGAGGCCAAGAACTCGACCCGTGCTGAGCGCAGAGCTGAGCAAAAGGCCCAGAAGAAGGCCGACAAGAAAGCCCAGAAGGCTGACAAGCGTGAGGTCTCCGTCGCTCCTGCCCCTCAGGCCGTCACTTCGCCGACCCTTGAGGAGCACACCACAAAGGAGGCTTCGCTTCGTGAGAAGTATCCAGAGATCTACGCAAAGATTGACTACTGGCGCGCTCTTGGCGCTAAGGACAAAGCTGCTGACCCTGTCGACTCTGGCAGCGAATATACCGACGACGCCAACTCTGACGACGAGTCGCCTCTTGCAGCTCCTTCTCAGCCTGTGGCCCAGGAGACCCAGTCGGTCACCGCTCATGGTCAAGTCGCAGAGGGCAAGGCCCAGACGAAGCAGACCTCTGCTGATGATTCTTCTTCTTCCGACGATGACGACTCGAGCACTGGCTCATCCGACGGCGACCCGTTCCACCTGAACAAGTACCTCACGCCAGAGTACCAGGCAAAGGCTCAGGCTTATCTCAAGGCCTTCGACGAGGCTCAAGCTCAATCCACCGACAAGCCCGTCTACGGACCTGCTCCTCCCCCGTCTTCCACCCAGTCTGGAGGCAAGACCATCGCCGGCAAGCCCACTACCGCTGACAACCGCTCTCAGAAGACCGCGGAGAGCGACGAGTCTTATACCTTCATCCAGAGAGACCCGAAGGAGGTTGATGCGTTCTAGAGCAACGTGCGAACCTCACTTCACATCTCCGACGATGAGCTGTCCGACACTGACAACGTCAAGGCCTCCAAGGTCTCCGCTGCCCAGCAAGAGCGAGACGAGATCAACCGTCGTGCGTACGAGCGCGTCAATGCCGCTCACGCCCGTGGTGAGATTGTTCGCCTCGAAAACACGAAGCCCATTCGCGACACTTTCTCGACTGATATCAAGAAGGAGGACATCGTCCCCGGTTTCGGAAAGGGCAAGAACAAGCAGGCTCCTGCCGCCTTCGACGAGGAGGCCTACGCCGAACGCTCGATTGCGTCTCACACCATGAAGCCCGCTCCGCTGCGCATCCCTTCTCGCGCCAAGCAGCCTGCCGTCGACAACAACGACAAGGCCGGCGCCAAGGATACCTCTCAGTCTCAGAGCAAGACGCCCACCGTCGCCGATACTCCGCGCTCGTCGAACGCTAGCAAGTACCGCATGGGTCCTGGAGAGGCTACCGTCTTGACCCAGGATTACAACGGCAACAACCCGTTCCTGCGCAGAAACGGCAGCGGCTCTTCCACTCAGAGTGGCGGTCCGAGAAGCAGCGCCAGCACTCGCAATTTCAGCTGGCCCAAGAGACCGAAGAGCAGCAAGTACGACTTCGTTGATAGCGATGACGACGAGTCCAATAAGAAGAAGAAGTCGGGCAAGACTCAGACTCAGACTCAGACCACCTCGTCTGGCAGCAGCAGCTCCCACAACTCTGAAGCTTTTAAGACTATGCTGAACAACACCAAGAATCTTACCGGCTTCACTCGCAAGATGGCCCCCCTCCCCAAGCCCCCGGTCAACGAGGAGACTGGCGAGCGCCGAAGCTTCACGGCAGACGAGTACAAGAACATTATCCAGGACGAGTTCAACCGGTTCGCCCAGCAGTCCCCTGAGAAGAAGGCGCAAGACCTCGAGACGGCTCTTGCCATTCTCAACGGTGTCCCCTCTGCGTCCTCATCCTCCAGCCGCGCCCCGACTGCCCCGGCGCCCGCTCCTTCGGACAACATCACTCGTCAGACGGTGACCGTTAACCCCTTCCTGCAACGCCCTACTGTCCGCGTCGCCGGTACTACGGCCCTTCCGCCCACGCCCGCGACGTCTGCTGTCCCCGCGACCATGGCTGAGAAGTTGGCCGAGCTGGATGACTTCTTCGCGGAGGAAAAGGACAACAACTACACCACCTCCGCTCCTGCCGCCGCGGGCTCCAGCTACGCCTCGAGCTACAACTCTACGGCCTCCACGAGCCAGAAGAAGCAGAAGGAGAAGGAGATCCAGGCCAAGGACGAGCCCTGGAACGATCCCAACTATCACGAGGAGGCTCTCTCCCACGGCTACGCCTTCAAGAAGACGGGCTACAACAACCTCCCCGACAGCATGGATCCCGTTCCCCTCACCCGCACCCAGCGCCGTGAGGTTCTTGAGCACTACGGCATGTCCGAGGCAGACTACCCTGCCCCTCCCGCCGGCTACCCCAACCCTCCCGGCCCCGAGCCCGGCACCGTCGCTCCCCCTTGCCCCTCGCGTCCTGCTCCGTCTGTTCCCGGCCAGGTCACTCCGGCTGGCAGCATCGGCGGAGGAGGTAGCAGCATTTCGAGCCTTCACAGCCTCGACAGCGACGCTCTTTCTCCTGCTCAGGCTCCTGCTCAGGCTCCTACTGTTCAGAGCCTCCGCACCCCTCGTCGCTTCCGTCGCGCAGCTACTGCGCCCCCTGCGCCTGCCCCTGACAGCCCTGCTCCTGGCTACGATGCCGACTGGTTCTGATTGAATGAATAATGGAGACGCATGAAGATACGAAAGGACGAATGAATGAAGGGATGATTTACGAAATGATCCGAAACGACTTTTCCCCTACTGCTTTATGGAATGCCACTGCTTGTTAAATTGCGGCGATTACGAAAATCTGAGAAAACAGCAAAAAAAGTACAAAACCCCACATGCGTTCGAAGTTGACCCATCGTCAGAGCATCGTCGACAAACGGACCAAGGAATGATTTCTCTTGACATTTCCTTCTCATGGAACTGTCCTCGAAATCAACCTGCCTGGATTTCTCGTCTCGACATGGCTTCGGTACATACGCACCCCAAAAAAAGTTACAAAACCATAAAACCCCGACAAACAAAACGACACCGTGTTGGATTACAGGAACTGGATAGTCACTTCTACGACTACCACTTCCCCCCTCGAGTGAGATAACACTGGGAAAAAAGGATCAAGACAATCCATCTTTTCTTGCTCATCGCAAAAGAATCTGGCTTGCTCTTGAACCTCCCCCAATTTTTCCAACGTTACTCGTTCTTGTTCAGAATACGACCTGGGAGATCTCTCTTCTCTTCCTTGAGGAAAGCAGAAATCTCATCGTCGACGCCCTTTTTGCATTGGCAGTCGCATTTTCGCACCGTCTTTGGCATTGTACGAGAATACCCTGGATTTCAGGGCACGGCATGGCGAGATGAGTTGAGGAAGGGGGATCGGACAGGATGGAACATGGGAGGAAATGGGAATCAACTCGTGGACACTTCTTTCCTGGTACTACTCTTGAATCAGAGGTCTAGCCTAGCCAACTAAGTAGATAGTCAACAGAGAATCGACCAGATTTGGATCGAGATACCGGGCTCATAGCCCGCTCCCCCCCCTTGCGTGACGTATGACTGGTAACGAATCTGCATAGACACTTACATTGATTTATGGCGATGGTTCTGAGCATCTCCCTTCTCCGTACGCAGGCTCCCTTTAACTTTGGCACCTGAGGACCTTCCCCTCAACTTCCCTGCCCTACTTCCTTCCTTTCGTTAAGTCCTTCCTTCCCTCCTTCTCGTCTTGCCCTCCCCTCGTAGTTTCTTATATCAACCCTCCCGTTCTGACTATTCCAACGACAGAGAATTGTTTCCTATCACAGCTTTTGGGTAACTACTTGCAGGGACGAGACTCGCTCTCCTCCACTGATATTGCCAACTAAGTAGGCATCTTCAGAAGGATGTGCACACAAACATAGGAGCACCTCAGTCCAGAAAGGGAGCATCGAAAGTTCAGGAAATTGTTTTGATTAGGTATCATCCCCTATCCATGGCATACCAGCCCCTGTCGGGGAACAAAAGGCCATTGTGCCGACTCCATTCATCAACGTAGCCTCTAGTGCGCGTTAAAGGACCTCCTTCTTCTCCTGTGTATGTACAGCATCGGTTTGCTGTGCTGTCAACGGAGTCTATGCCCTCTCCACAAGGCGACCCGACAGCCATAGGAAGAAAGAGAAAAAGAAAAAAAAAATGTGAAAAAGGAAACAAAGGGAATCACTCTTGTGAAAATTATTCGCTCCTATGTCCAGGTCCATCGCCCTTCCTTGCTGGATCTTCTGGCTCTCCTCAAGCAATCCCAGATACGCCGCCCCTATGCGGAATTCGTGTCCCTCATACATGACAAAGGTAAGGTATATATAGAAAGTTCCCATCGTACAAGAAAGGAAGGAGAAGGGGAACTAATTAAGTGCCGCAAACACGCTCAAAAGGGTTCCACCTCTAAGCACTCTGTGGCGGTGCTCCGGCCGTGCCATTGTTCTCCGATTCAAAAGCCAATTTCCGCGGGTCCGCACTCTCCACCTTGGGGAAGTTTGGCTTCTCCATGCCGGATACCCCGCTGTCGGTCTCACCAAAGGTGATGCCGAGGGAGTCTGCGTTCTTCTTCGCCTCGAGTGCTCGTCTTCTCTCATCTTCTTGAGCTTCCTCGAGGTTCATCAACGCAGGGGGGCGGTGTCGCTGCTGTCTTGCCTTGGTAAGGGAAATGGTCTTTTGTTGATACGTCGTTGTTATCGCCTGCGTATCATCTCGGTCAATGGTGGCCTTCATGAGGGCTGCCATCCACAGTCTTCCTGACTTGAGGTTGGGGACTGCAAAATAGTGAACAGTCGGTTTAGTGAAGTTCACAGCGCGGGACAGGCCAGCGCGTGGTGGAACAAGCTTAAAGATGAACATGGTATCATCCCCCTTCTCTCCCGAGGCGTTGGTGTCGTGTCCAGTGACAGCACCTGCACCGGTGAGCTTGGCGTGGAGTCCAGTCAGTTGTTCGTTGTCTGCTGGGAGAACACGGTGGAAGGAAATATCGATGAGTCCCTTCTCTTGGTCGTCGTTCTCCGAGTAGTAGTATGAAAGTCGGCGTCCTTTGAGCACAAACAGTCGGGGCTTCCATGTTGTCATGAGGTTGGAACTCTTCTTTCTCATCCACCCGCTGTAGTCGGCGTCTTTGACAGCTTCAGCGGGACTGATCTTCAAGAGACCCCGTTGGTAGGCGCTCGTCTCCTTCTTGCCCTTCTTCCTGCTGCCCTTGCTCGCCACGGTAGTGGCAGTGCTGGGGCTTTTGGCGGTATCGGGGGAATCGAGCTCAAAGCTAGGCCCGGCAGAGGGAGTACTCGACCCGGTTCTAGCGGGTGAGGGCAGAGGCGAGTCCTTCAGGGATGGGTCAATTGGTGAAGCCATCTTGTTGCGATCACTCGAGACTGAATCCGAAATTGCGCGCAAGCCGACTACCTTCATCGAGGGCTTCACAACAGCGGAAAGCCACTCAGCGTGAATTCCCTGGCGAGCCGCAGGAGATTCGGGTACCGGAGAGGCACGAGTCTTGGCTTCCAGTTTTGTGACGCTGGGTGCTCCGACGTCCTTAACAGGAGGCACGGGCCGCGCAGACTGAGTAGTACTTGTTGAGGCGGTTCTCCTGTGGGCGGTGGACTGTATGCCGTAATATTTTTGCGCGGCAGGGGAGGCAACACTATCGCGGGTTGAGTCGACGCTTCCGAATCTCGAATGCCTCGAAATGGCGGTAGCACTGCGCACCCGTTGCTCCTCAGCGTAACTGTTCTTTCGGCCGTGGCTGGCGGTGCTATCGCGCTTCCTAAGCACGTTGCGGCGTCGGCCGTCAACTTCAGTGCCGCTAAAGTAACCACGATCCGTATCGATGGCGGACTCCGGAGCGTGAAGACCAGATTGCTGCATGACGTCTTGGAGCCCGGTAGAAGAAAGTGGACGGCTTGAGGCGCTGCCAAGGGTCCAGTTCCTGTCGAACGATGGTTGCTTCTTATGAGCGCCGTCTGTCTGAGGAAACGTTCCACTCGTGGCCAGTTTCGGTGTCACGGTACTGGCCATGGGCTGTCCCGTCAAACGGAAATCGGTGGACGATGAGTGTCTGCGAGAGTGGTGCAGATCTCTGACAGACGCAGCCGAAGGTCGTTTCATGTGAGATGGACGGGTGGGACTGTCGACAATCGGGGAGACTGGCGACACAATGGATGCTGTATCCAGCTTGGGCGTTTGTGAGAAGGAAAGACGCTTGCTTGAAAATGACATGGCTCTGTCGTCAACCGGTGTCATCCTGGGCATTGAGCTGGTCAAGGTGTCGGCCCGGCTTCTAGACCGCTTCGCATCTTCCGAGCCCACCTCGCTGCCGTACGTCTGCGTAGTCCTTCTCGTCGCAATACCTAGGTTGTTACACTCATCTTGCAGAGACTTGATTTTCTGCCAAGTCTTGAGTCTCCTACCGACAGAACCCAATTCGAATGCCTTGATGAAGAGGGAGCTTTGGTCCATACCCAACAAGACTTCACCGGTAATCTCTTGGTCGCGGAATACTTCGCAGTGCGATTTCTCGACGCCGACTGTGAACAGATACTCGGCAACTTCGTCCGATGTCCATGCTTCCACCTCGGATCGACTGTGCATACCCTCCTCTTCTTCGTCCGTTTCTTCGCCATGGATGTAGGACATTCGATTATCGAGATGGGCACTATATTCGCTGCCGGAATCGGTGGGAGGGGCACGCATTGCGCCGTTGCTAGGTGTAGATCGTAAATCGGTGATGTGCTCGTCGATAACGTTGAGAGTCTCGCTGAGAACATGATCCTGGTGCGTGTTGATACGGCCAAGTGCGGCCGATGGCGGCGCACTCACGGCTGGCGGCGCATTCTCGATTGGAGCGGTTTCCTGCTTAATGTTGTTTAGAGGCAGCGTAACGGGAGCCGGGGATTCGGGTGGTGGCGTGGGAGTGGGTGGAGCGGCGGGGGTGGTAATCTCGTCGTCGGTCGGTTCGGGAGGGGTTGTTTGTTTGGATTCGTTCACCACCTCGGGCAGCGTTGCTAGTGGCTTCGAGAAGTTGTTCGCGGGTGCCGTCTTCGGAGCTGGCCTGGTGTAGACTGAACCATGGATGATGAGCCTCTTGTCGTTTGCATAGGCCGTGTACCGTGTAGACGTACCTTCGGGAAACAGGCCGCTGTTCCCGTTCACGAGGTGCTTGCCCAAAAACCATCCATCTCCAAACTCGTCATCTCGTTCTATTAACTCAACTCGGTCGCCTTTGGTCAGGCTCAATTCGTCGGAGCTGCGAGCAATAAAGTCGTCTAGAAGGAGAGAAAAAAGGTCAGATCAAATTGCACAGCGGAGAGACCCGGTCCGGTAAGGTAGAGGGCGGGGAGACGAAGATGCTGCATGACGCGAGCGAATACGAGTGACGGTGAGCGGGACACGGCGGGCGGGTGGGCTCAAGGCGTCGCTAGCGGATGAGGGAATGGACTTACGTATGACCAAGAGGGTATCGCCAACTTCTGGCTTCTGGAGAGCCATTATGTCGACGATGCCAGGCGCCGCGACAGATGCGGGTGGCGTTTGCTGAAGAGAATGAGTTGTAACGGGATCAATACATAGGAGATGAGTTCGCTGGCTGAGCAGCCTGGTCTGGGCTGGACTTGACTTGGGTGCGACGACGACAAGGGGGTGGAGACGTG